TACCGCGCCGCCAGGCACCTGCTGCAGGTAGGCGCGGACAGGCAGCCCTGCTCCAAGGGCCGTCGAGGCGCCCGCTGAGGGGCGGCCCTGAGTGGGGACGAGGGGGATGTAGCCTGCTGGTGGGCAGCCCTCAGCAGCCACACGGTGGGGAGAGGCACCCCCTCTCAGGACCCCGGTTTAGAAACCCGTGGGGAATGGGCCCAGGATGGGGCTTGAGGGCTTGGTTTGTAACCGGCCCCTGGGTTTGGACTGCTGCTGGGCTCCTAATGCGGGGGCACAGGTCGGGTCTTCCCCCAAAGGATTGTGAAGCAAAAGTTGGAAAAGGAAATGGGTTCGGATAGGACCAGACTTGGTGCTGTCCTAACACGCAGCACGTTGTACTTGGTGGGGTGGAGATCTGTGCCTGGGGCCTTACGGGTGCCTGGTCATTTGCTGTCCTCCCTAATGCAGGAACATAAGCGATGCTCCAAGTCTCCAAGCTTCCCTTTGTTTGTTTTTCCCACTTTTTCTTCCAAAAAGTCGGGTCACAGAAACAGAAGAACACTTTTTTTTTTTTCTGCTGAGAGAAGCTCAAAGTCTTTCATTTGCTGGCAAACAGTTTAATTTCTTTCTTTCCTCCCCAACCGAAAATTCACGGGTGTGCTTCTCCAGCCATTGGCACAAATCCGCGGCTGTGCCAGTTTGGAGTAGCCCACTAATGAGTCTGTTAACAGTGCTGTTTCATGGCAGCGTGTTTTCAGGGATTCAAGGGAAAATATTTTCATGCCAGAGCAAGTTGTAACGTTTCTGTCAGAATGTTTTTTCTAGTTGGGGACACATTTATTTATTTATTTATTTATTTATTTTTGAGAAAAATTAACATCTTTTTGCAAAATCATTCTGTTTTTTTCTTTATAAGAAACAGGTAGGGGAAGGACTAGACCTAGTAAATGACATCAATAACTTTATAGTTAAGGACTAGTTGTACAGAATGTAATTACATTTGTAAATTTGTGTGTGTGTATATGCATGTGTTATGGCCGCACTTGTAACTTGCCACGTAGAATTTGGTAAAGTATCTACGTATCTGTTTCAGCAACAACACGCATGATTTAGTACATCCAAACCAGGTAAAGCATCTATAAATCGGTTCTAAATTTCAGTGACAAATCACACAATTCAGTGCACTTAAACCTCATGACATTAAACACTGGCCACAAAATATGACTATTTTACCTTTAATACATATTATTTGTATTCCCTAGTTACAGGCACATATTGAGAAGAGGCTACTTTTGTAATCTATAGCATATCTTAGATGAGGTTTTAACACTGGGAAAGCAGCTACGAATCAAGTTTTTATTTCTCTTTGTATCTTTTAACATTATTTATTAAATATCTAAATATTAAAATGTTCAGGTGTTAGAGATAACTGAAGACAAAACATAGGCTGGACATTTAAAGGCCCACATTTCAGACTATTTAAAGATGTGATCTTGAAAACCCTTAGATACTTGAGTAACCTTATTCAGGTACATCACTTTCCTTGAGCTTAATTTTATGCATATTAATACAAATTATTGAACCTAATAGGTTTGACTGCATGAATAAATTATTTTGGAGTTTAGGTGTTTGTGGGGTTGGGCCCCAAGTGTGCAGTGTAGTATAATCACGTGCAGATGAGTGTTACGCCTTTTCGTAAAAGCCACTAATTGCAGTTAGCCGTGTTGTAATTGCTCTATTTAAATATTTCTTTGGAAATCAAGGAGACTACTTACCTGGATAAGAGCTGCAGGTTTATGACCCTCAACTGTGAAATCCTGAGGAAGGAACAATTATTTCTTTATGTCCATCTGTAAATAATTACACACATAAACTACGTTTAAAGAACATTGTGACATTCAAAGTTAGGAAATGCTGGAAGTATGGTTGCTTGGGAAACCTTAACTCAGTCCCCAAGTACTGTGCATTATGAAATTAGTCTAATAATTCAGTACTCCCCTCCCATTTCTCCCCCCCCCGCCCGCACAAACCCCTAACTCATTCAGAATACAAAATGGATGTGTCAAATTAATGTGCAATAGTTTAATTTTGTTTTCTCTTCGCTTTACTGTTTGTGGCCCCATGCCTGCTTTCCTGACTCCGAAGGTAGAATTAGTTATTTCCTCATGGACTCTCCTATGGTGCCTCCCACTCTCTGGTTCTTTAGCTTAATTTGTTACTCTGCCACTGTGCGACTCAGGCAAATCTGTGCTTCTTTCTGGAGTTCCTGCTTCTTCCTCCTACAGATTCCTGATTTTATCCCCAGATCAGGATGTCATGGAAAAAGTAATATGTAATTAAAAACTTTTCTGTGATGTAAATGTATAAGGTTGCATAGTAGGCCACAATTCTGGCTTTCCCAAGTTGTTAACCTGCAAGTTAATAAGCAAGGGCATCCGTGTTCTGTGTAATTTTTGAAAAGCCAATTGGGAAAAACAAAAAGTCCATGTGGTAGCATATTGATGCTTTCCTTGGTTCTCAAGAGGGACTTTTTGGATCCATTTAAAAAGGCTTCTGGCACTTGTCACCATGGAGTAACTTAACAGTGGTAATCTAGGTTGTCATCTCCTCTGTATAGACCTCGAGCTTTTCTCAGCAGAAAAAAAAATTGGCTATCAGCTGATACCGATTTGATTTCTGGTACCCAACCTGGGAGTGTGGAGAGCTGCCTCCAGCTGGTAAGTGTGGTGTGGTGGAAGGGAAGGGGAGAGAGGGAAAGGGTGTGAGGGAACAGATCAAGGCCCCTGTGGTGAGGGAAGCATGGGGCTGGGGCAAGTGCTGCCCATCCAGGGCAGGGTGGGCGTGGGACAAAGCCACGGCTCGTCCGGGGATCACGGGGAGTGTGTGTGTGTGTGTGGGGCGGGGGGCGGCTCCCTGTGTGCTGCTCAGCCAGAAGCCGCTGGTTTGGTGGCTTGTCCGGTGGTCTCGCTGCTGCTTGTCTGGGGGGGGCATGTAAACCGAATCTGCGTGGGCCAGGGCTGAGCCAAGGTCTTCCCGGTGTGGTGGGGCTATGCTGTACAGCCCTGCCCAGCCAGGAAGAGGTTGGTGCAGCCCCGGCCTGCCCTGAGCAGATCTGGGGGCATGTGACCTGTGCAGATCCAGGGGCACATGCCCCCCAATGCCCTTCCAGATGAGTGGTGGGAGCAGCGGCAGGAGCTGCTGGACAAGCAGGCAAGCCCTGGATGAGCCGCTGGACCAGTGGCTCCCGGCCAAGCAGCGCGGTGGCAGAAGCCATGCCCACCAGACAAGCTGTGGCTGCACCTTCCCTGCCCCAGCTGGGCAGCCCCTGCCCCAGCCCCTGTCCTCCCTCTCCATGGGGGCCTTGATCTTCCCCCCAATGCCCCTTCCTTTTCCTTTCCACCACGCCAGACTTAGCAGCTGGAGGCAGCTCTCCAAGCTGCCAGGCTGTGCTTCTTGTCATCTGTGCTGCTCTGTGGCTGCGCGCATGCATGGACCATTTATTGGCTTGTTATGGCTGATTTCCGATATATTAAATTTTCTTTATCTTGGTGCTGATCCAATATCGGACAGATGCATCAGTGTACCTCTGCTAGACATGGATGAGATGTATGTGAAACCCACTGGCCAAACATCTGTAAGCAAATATATGAGGAATGATGAGAGCAAGGAACTTTAGGTTCTTTTTCTGACTCTGAAGGTCTAGTGGTTTCTAGTGGGCACAGACTTTTCTGTATGTTCCCTGTAACTTAACTGCTCACCTCATCTTCTCCAAGTTGTTACTGTCCTAAATCTCTTCTCCAATGTTTATTCCTTTTGTTAGTTCCATTCTCTTCATCTAGTTAGTCCCACTCCATTCTTTCGGTGTGTCTTCCTCATCCAACTCTTATTTACTCAGCCATCCAGTCATAGAGAAATGGGGCTGGAAGGGACCTCCAGAGGTCATCCGGTCCAGTCTCTACCTGAGACGGGATCATCCCTATCCAAACCATCCCATACAAACCATAATCTAAACTATACATAAAACTACTGTCAAACTTGACATAACATGACCTAACACCCTAACCTGCCACAGGTAAAGCAGGGGAACTACAGCATTCAGTGTCCTGCTTCTATATTGATAACATTTTATAAGCTCAAGAGATCGTATAGAGGGCCTTGCCTTTTGCTACAGTGTAAGGCAAAGCCTCCCACAGTCAATATTCCTTTATGGCCCCAGATATAATGATTGGTCTGACTGCAAGTGGATGAGTAAGACCTTCTAGCTAGGACCCTTCTGCTTTGGTCCCCTAAAGGAGCATTGGCATACCAAAGTCAGTCCCCAGCCTTGGCTGTAGCCAACACCCAGTGCCTCTGGGAAGGCTTAAGAACACCCTAACAAATATAGCACAAAAGGGTGGAGGTGGCAACCAGCAAAGTCCAGAAGCATAGGAAATATTCAAGGTAGAACATAGGTATTATTGCACCTATTGTCCCTGACCAGTGGCTGTCCAACCTCTTCTTGAACATCTCCAGTGATGAAGAGTCCACAACTTCCCTAGGTAGTCTATTCCACTGCCTCACTATTTGAGCAGTGAAGAAGTTTTCCCAGATATGCTGTCTAAACTGACTTTGCTGGAACTTCCAGCCATTAGTCCATTAGTCCTCCTCTCTGCAGCAAGAGAGAAAAGGTACTTTTCCTCTTCTCTATGGTAGCCCTTCCAGCATTTGATGCCTGCTATCACACCCCTTCTTAAGGACCTTTTCCTGCATGTTGAACATGCCTAGCTCCTTCAGCCTTTTCTCGTATGATTTACTTTCCAAGCCCTTTATCATCGTTGTTGCCTGCCTTGGGACCCTACCAATCCTAGGGTGCATACACAAGTGACATTTTCCATGTGGTTGGGCCCCTGAAAGTGCTCTACATAACATATGTACATGACGGCCAAGAGCTTTTAAAATGGTCAATTGCATGAAAAATGATCCCTGGTCAAATGAGTTATTACATTAAGGTGTTCTAAAGCAGAGTACTGTAGGAAACTTGTTTCCTCTACGGTTAATTCTTCTTGTGGGGGGTGGACTGGGCTGGTGCTACCAACATGGCCCAACCCCTAGGCTGCAAGGGGGAAGGGAGCTCGAAACTGCTTTGACTAGCCAGAGCTATGGGGAAAGGGGAGGAATGGAGCCCCCTCACCTTGCGGGCCCAGCCTGGCTCCTGTTACCTCAGCCATGGTACCTGGGGGGGCCTGCAAGGCAGGGGGGGCTCCATTCCACCCCCCCTCTCCCTTGGCTCTGGCCATTCAAATCAGTTGGGAGCTCCCTCCCCTTCCCCCTGCCTCTCCCACTGACAGCCCTGGAGGTGGGAGGCAGCAAGGCCAGTGAGGGGTGCAGTTTGGCAGCCTCCTCTGAGGTTGCTGCAGTGCCCTTGTCTGCTGGCCAGGGCCAGTGCAGGCAGGCATCAGCCCACCCCCTTGACCTAACATGTCTGTTGGGTCTTGGAGGAGGGCGAGTGGGGAGTGGGGCTCTCCTTCATGGTGCTTTATCTAAAGCACCATGAGTTAGAGTGGGGCTCTAATGTTTGAAGGCACCCTTAGTCTTTTTCTTGGGGCCCAGTTCTGTTCCTCCCCCGCCCCAATGTTCTTCTTCTCTGGGTTCCTAGCCTGGTCCATTTCTCATTTGGCAACAATCTTCCAAGCACTACCTCCCTCCTGCCCACATGCCCTGTTCCTGGATATGTTATACTTAAATAAAAAAAAAAAAAAAGCCATAAGTTTTGTTTTGAGTAAATGTTTGGCTATTAACAGACTAACAAAATATTGTAACTGGGTGGGAGAGCCATGCAAAAATAGTCATCAATGGTGGCGTCATGCTCTGCCACCACTGCAGCTAGTACTGCTCTGTGTGTTACAGCTGCCCCGGGCACAGGCTGCCCAGCTAGGCTGCTGCTCTAACTTAACATATTCTCTCACATTTGTACCATTTACAATATATAAACAGTATCAAACTTCCTGGGTTTTTTACCTTTATTGAAGCAAACCAAAACCTTCATATGGAAAAAAAAATACCCATGAAAACCACAAAAAGAATAGTTAGTGAAAGCTACTTTTTAATGATGTGTTTTAAGGAATGTTAATTACCTTTAAATATTAATTCATTTCACACAAATTCTCTAAACCCCATAGATTTTAATGTGAATTTTTGGACTTTCTATTTCCCAGAATAAGTAATTAGGTAAGAATGAAAAGGTTTGTCAAATTCCGAGTTGGTGAAAACAGATCAGTGAGGTTTCACATTCTTAGCCAAGTCCAGATTTGATCTGAATTAACTTCACGTTAAGGTGTTGCAACACCCCAGTTCAGAACTACTGATATGTTCCTACTCATACCAGACATTCACTGCATGTTTAAATGTCCATAACCCAGGCCAGGTTACTAATTCTTGTGATTTCCTTTAGGTGCAAAGTATTTTTAGGGTATAGTCCTGCAAAATGCAGTATGGGAAGTGTCAAAGCAACTTCACCTGCTATTGAAATTACCTTCATGTTTGGCTTCTACCTGTTGAAAACATTAAAGTGTACGCTAGTAAAACTGCATGTCCAGTTATAGCATGCACACTCAAATATGTTTCTAATTCTGACTTGATACAATAAGGCATAGTTTATATAACTAGTAAATTTGTAAAGGAGGATGTATAGCATCAGTATAATTTAGATTATTTCCCTTCTCTAATGTTGTTCAGGGGACCCCACATTTTCAGGTTAGATCTTGGTTAATAGAACAATGTTGATTTCCAGGAGCAGAAGACTTGGCCCTCTTCTCTAAGATTCCTAAACTGACACTGCTGTTTTAACTTGATTAACCTCTCTAAACTCAGTTAGAAATAGGTGTAAATACATGCTGTATATATTTGATGAAGAGGTGAAGTAGATCGGGTCGAATCCATAGTTTGACTCTCCTCACTGCCCCTGCCCCCACTGTCCCATCAAGTCAACAACCAGAAAACAATGCTAGGAAGCTGACCCTATATGATGCATTTTGGTTTTTGGGGTAGGAAAGAAGAGTCAATGTCACATCACTAGGTGGTAGAGTATTGGTATTAACTCTTACTCTTCTTTGATTAAAGAATCAAAGCAATATTTTGTTTCTCCCACTGTTTTTTTTTTTCTCTCTCTTATTGAAAGTGAATTGCTTGTGTTGAACTCATTTTAGTTTGCATAATAGAAAGTGGGGTCACAGAAACAGAAGAACACTTTGTTTCTAGTGAGGAGCTGTTGCCTAGGAACCAGGCACACAGCAACAGGATGCTGATTCTTCCTTCCCCTATTTGAAACATGAGGTAAGTATTCTTCCTAGATTTTGACTTTCAACACCAAACCCTACAAAGCATGCAAAATAACAAATCTAGGGACATACCCTTCTCAGGCTATTTCCTGCTTCTTTTAATGCTAAATGAGAAGATTGCACAATGTGCCAGATTCTACTCAACATATATGCAGAGGAACTTCAAAGTAAATGGAGCTATTATGAATTTATTATGTGGTAGCTGAGTGCAAAATTCGATGGCCCAACAAGAGAAGAATATTACTCATTGTTATTGTAGAAGTACATTTAACATTTTTAACAAGGAAGGAGCAACTCTAAACAATAGTAGTTGGACACACCATTCAGTTTTTCTCTTTCTTGTAACTATTCACAGTGGGAACAAAGTAGTAATTGTCTCTGTTGCTAATTATAAATATCTTTTCATCTCCTCTGCTTGGACAGTATATGTTTGAAAATGATTTATTTCAGTGGTGATTAGATTAATTACCTATCTTTGAGTTGTGCAGCTTTCAAGCGTCAGAGATGACGAACAAGTATAGTAAAACCAGTAGTCTGAATTCAAGTTAAACACCACCATTACTTAAAATGTATATTTGAAAAGGATGGTTTTGCCACAGTCACAAAGATAGTAACAATTCTGAGTTTAGAGACTTTTTGAAACTCTAGGTATGAGTGAAGGTGGGGGGGGGGGAAGAGGAACAAAAAATGAGTTGAGTTGTAAAATGTGATAAACCAGATACTTGGAATTCTTTGACTGTTGTTATCATCATTAAAATTGAGCATAAATTGAGGTTTATAGCCCTCTCTTGCACCCAGTGCATATCATTGCATGTATGCTGATAGAGTAAACTTCACTTTGCAGTCTTAAAAAAGTAAAAGCCTGACTATGCCATATCACCCATTGAAGAATATCTTATCTAGCAGTTGTGGAAGTAGATGGGACTATTTATGGAATGTGGTACTTCTAAAGAAGAGTAAGAATGTCAAAATTGGCCCCTATGTGAGCCCCTCAGGTGCAGATACCATGATCATGTTTTGAAGAGATTAAACAAAGTTCTTTTCAAACTAAAATCTGAAAAAAGGTCTATTAATGTTTTCCTGTGTAAGCAATGCCACATTTTAAAGTCACAAGTAATAGTGTAACAGTTGTACATCTTGGAAGAGAGAGTCTTCAGTGCCAAGCAGATAAAGAGTTACTGATAAACTGCATTTTAATACAGACAAAAATATTTATCCAGGCAGAAAAAGAATATTTCCTAAAACCGTAGTAAGCGCTGGAGGATGAAAATGAAGGAAGAAATTCTCTTCTTATAGATATGCTTTTTCTGTGTCCACCTGTTTAAAAAAAACAAAAACATTAGAAGAGACATTTTTGTTTTTTTCATCCCAATATATTTCATCAAGTAGGAAAGAAACTTTAATGCTTTATGATGGTATTTCTTGAGGACCTGTTCTGAAGCTCATTGAAATCTATGGAAACCCTCCTATTCCTGGGTGTTTCTCAAGTACCTCATAAAGCAGAACATTCTATTTCTCTTTGTTTTTACAACTGCTTTAAGTATTCAAGTTAAAGCATTCGTATAAACCCCAACAGTATATGAAAAATCTACCAGCACCTTGGAAATAAAGTTCCATGTCAGTTTTGAGGAGAAATTTTATAGTTCTTTTCTTCACTTCTTGACTGAAGACAGTGATTTTCTCCTGTAAGGTATTTAGGAGAAGAGCAACATTTAATTAGTAAGTCTCAGCTGAGATCTATCTAGCTATGTTTCTTATCACTTACTAAAGATTTGTGAGTAAAACTGAATTCTAATCTTTCTAGCCCTGGTAGAATGAAGTCAGAGTTGGGGTTCAAAGACTCTCTGACAAATTTCTTGGAGTGAGGTGTGATGGTGCAGGAAGTGTATGAGATGGTATTTTGGTGATTTTTTTTTTTTTTTTTTTTTTTATTGGTCCAACTTTTATCCAGTAAGAGATACCATAAAAAAACTCCATTGTCTCAAGCTCATTGGAGTTATTTTGAACTTACACTGGTTGAACTGGTAGAGTTTATTTCATTATATCTGTAAACCTTTTTAATGAGTAAAGGAGCTTTCCCTCTACCAAATCTATGCAGATTTTGCTCTTTTCTTAGTTGCATGGCTTCTAATAACATGCAGACCACTTACTAGTTCTATCTATCAAGGTAAAGGCTTCTAATAGCTAGGCTG